GGCTTTGGTTGGCCATCTATTCAACAAGTATATTGTTGTATTGGCAGCTTCAGTCCAAAATTCTTTAGGCATGTTCTTCTTAGCTAGTAAGCACCTAGTCACCTCCATGATGATTCTATTATTCCTCTCAGCTACTCAATTTTGTTGTTGTAGAGAGTAGCTCACCGTATATTGATGCCATATTCCAAAAACTACACACACAAAATCAAACTAGACAGATGAAAACTTCTTGCCATTGTCAGTCCTCAAACCTTTTAATGACATTCCACTTTGAGTTTCAACCATTGCCTTGAAACTGTTGAACAACTCTAACCACATCTAATTTCAACTTCAAGAAGTATATCCATGTCATCCTCGCTGCATCATCAATAAACAATAGGAAGTATCTACTCCCATTTAGAGACGATGTCTTCATCGGTCCACATAGATCTGATGAACCAATTCCAATTTTTCTTTGGCTCTAGATGACGAGATGAAAAAATCAGTAGCCAAGGAGGTGGATTGTCATCGGAAAAAGAGAGGAAAGCCACTGGAATGCAAAATATCATTGATCATGAGAATATGAGACATTGCAGAGTTGAGGAAGGGGAAAAGGATGTCACCAACAATGAGGGAAGGAAAAGAGTCGCCTAAAAAGGAAGATGCAAGGTCACCAACCGCGGAGCTAGGGTCTGGGGGTGAGCAGCTGCTCATTTTGAACGATCTCTCATTATCCTTCTATAGTGAGGATGGCAAACATTAGTTCAATCCCTGCACGAATAAAAAATGACAAAATTAGCCCCAAATGTAAATTACAATTTGACCTCGAAACATCATAAAAGAGACAAAATCATCTCTAATCAATAAATCACACCCTAATATCAACTTACACCATCTCAAAATTCATTCCAAACATGCAACATTTGTAAGAAAAATTTAGAGTGTGATTTTTTACGAATAATTTCATAAATTCTTTATTGGTCTCAATATGACTACATTTTAATTACAAATGGAGTATTTTTATCACCTAAGTAAAGTCATTTTCATGATTCTAACAGTCAATCTTTACTTTGTTGCATGCTTATATGTGATGAATGTATAAGGTAAAACCTAATTAACCCCTTCTAACTTATATGCGTTATACTTTTCATGTTTCGTTGCGCTCCTAGAATACGATGTGTTGAAAGTTCAAATGTTTTGTAATTAAAAATTAAATTGTATAGATAAGATTATAGGATTAGATTAGGAATCAAATTTGTTGTCATAATTTTAGGATTAAATAATTTATCTATTTGTTGTAAACTATCTACAAATAGGTGATATCCCTAATTGTTTTCATTGATGAGAACAAGTGTTTCTCTTGTCCTTGCAATCACAACGTTCGAAATAAACAAGATGTCAACAATGAACTACTTTATGCAGTAACAAACAACACTAATAAAGAATAGAGGAGTTACTACATTACCATGAACAAAGCAATATATGTGTAAATAAATTTGTATGCATGGCCTTGTTAATAACCATATGCATCATGCATGTACAATCATCCAAAAAAAAAAAAAAAAAAAATTCAGTAAGATAACTGCAATACTTCTACACAACCATTTGATTTCAGTAGATATCAAAATACCAATCTCAAGTTTTCATCTTTGACAGAAGAAAATAAGAAAAATACTAAGCAATGAATGTAAAATTTGTTACTTCTCTAATATTAAACATGATTTCATAACAATTTTTGAAAGCCCATACAAAACACCATTTTCATTATATTGTCTAAACTAGGGTTTTATTTAACCATCAAGAAAGAACATGCAAGAGTATGTTGGAAATCTAAATCTGCTGTGGTACCATGTTGAAAATCGGAGGAGTAAAAAAAAAAAAAAAAAACATTAAAATAAGAAAAACACTTAACAATATAAAAAGGTATACAATATTTTACGTGGTTCGGCATAACTCGCCTATATCCACGGATGAGAGGGTTTTTACTATAATAATATGAATACGATACAAGTGTTTCATCACACCATCAACCTAGTTCCTTTATTTAGGTGGACATTATGTTCCTATGGTGTTTAATACCCCTTGGTATTTACTCGATACCCGTAGTACTCTTACATCAAAACCCCTTGTATCCTCACATTCTCTCTTTCTCTTATTCCCTCTCTCACAACTTTGAATTGGTTCTAACTCCTCTATTTATAGGTAAAATAGGACATTCTTTTTTTACTAGGATTCATATTTCTAATCCCTATAGGACTCCTCTAATTTAATTCAGTATCCTATTTTAACTCTAAATAAAATCCAAAACCAATTCTTCTTTCCTAATAAAACTCAAAGTAAAAGGAAAACAAATATTCTCAACTGCAAATTCCTAAACTAGAAATTTGCCTAGAACTTAAATTTCTTTTTCTTCTTGTTTGCCTTTTCTTCTTGCTTGCCTTTTCTTCATCAATTACCAAAAAGTGTTCACATTCCAACACTCCTCCTTGAACCTTTTTGGCAATTCATCTTCTAAGCTTGTTCTTCATTCTCTTACTCCTCTTTTTTCTTCTACAACTTTAGCCTACCACCCTTAGTGTTAGCTTCTTCTCTCCAACACCCTTAGTGTTGGCTTTTCTCTCCAATCTTTTGTTAAAGTCATCTCTTCTTCCTCCACTCTTTGTTGGAGTCTTGATGGCTTTCTCTCGTCGATCCTGTTGCCAACATTTTTGCAGACCATCACCGTGCAATTTTCGCTTCATCTTCCATAGGCCCCTTCTCTTGTAGGTCTCTTAAGAAAATAAGCTCTGATACTATGTTGGAAATCTAAATCTATTGTGGTACCATGATGAAAATCAGATGAGTGAAAAAAAACATTAAAATAAGAACAACACATAACAACATAAAAATGCATACGATATTTTACGTGGTTTGGCATAACTCGCCTACATCCACGGATGAGAGGGTTTTCACTATAATAATATGAATACAATACAAGTGTTTTATCACATCATCAACCTAGTTCCTTTACTTAGGCGGACATCCCGTTCCTATGGTGTCTAATACCCACTAATACCCGTAATACCCTTACATCAAAACCCCTTGTATCCTCACATTCTCTCTTTCTCTTATTTTCTCTCTCATAACTTTGAATTGGTTCTAACCCCTCTATTTATAGGTAAAATAGGACATTCTTTTTTTTTTTTACTAGGATACATGTTTCTAATCCTAATAGGACTCCTCTAATTTAATTCATTATCCTATTTGAACTCTAAATAAATTCCGAAACCAATTATTCTTTCCTAATAAAACTCAAAGTAAAAAGAATACAAATATTCTCAATTACAATTCCTAAACCAGAATTTTGCCCAAAACTTAAATATATTTTTCTTCTTGTTTGCCTTTTCTTCTTGCTTGCCTTTTCTTTATCAATTACCAAAATATATTCACATTCCAACAGAGTAAAGTAGTGTAATGTGATGTGTTTTTCCAACAATAACAAAATCACTAATGAAGAAAAATGTCAACTTTATACAATTAGCGTACCCAAGCATGAACACTTGAAAAAATCGTGAAGTAACTTCAACGGAAGCACAATGATGGAAGGCTTAACCACTCTCATTCCAATTCAAGGATTTTTAGTGTTCAAATGAGGTTTTGGGTTAGTATGTTGAAGAAGAAGGTGAGTATTTTTTGCGGTAATGAAGGTGGAAGCTGATAGTCCCTTTGCTTTTTAATTTTTTAATGGTTGACAAGGTTTTGTAAACTGTTTTCAAAATAAAGGCATTATTATCCACATTTTTTTTGGAAGATTACCAGAATTTTATATTACCTACAACCAATAGTAGTGATTAAGTAATATAAGATGACATTACCTCAGTAATGGGGGATTACCACAACCAAACACACCTTAAGTGATGTTAGTGACGACTTTTGTGTTTAAATTTAATACATAAATGTGAAAAGACAATTATACCTTCTTAATCTATCGATGCTTCAAAGCTGTTTTGGTTTCGGGAGGTATTTTTATCAAAAACTTTTGGGATAACTTGACTAAAACTACAATAGACACCCCCCCCCCCCCCCCCCCCTTTTTACTTTCCCAAACTTTTGGGGGGCTAAATGTAATTTCTCGTTTTGGATTGTTGGATGATGAGGAAATTTTAGGGCCACTTGGTTCACTATTATTACCTTGTCATATTCCACTATCCTATCCTAAAAATCCAAAAATGTATTTGTTTAATATTCTTAAAATCCATTTCTATGCTATTCAACTCTCAAAATATTAATACTTTTCTCGTAAAGAAAACAACTTTGGGTGCGTTTGATTTATTATTTCTATCCCTATTCCCAACCTATTCCCAAAATATTTGTTTGTTTAATTATTTAGGAAATACTATTACATTTTTAATTGCTTTCAGACCCCTTAAGTTTATTTATTTTCATAAAGACCTCCAGGAAAAAAAAGTTTAAAAATTAATAAAAACACTCCCACCTACCTATAGTTGCCAGATTCCAGCAACCACCATCGATGGTAGTCGGAATCTGTCACAACGACTTACAAATGATCAGAACTTGCCAGTAATTCGCTAATCTGGCCGTCAGCGACGACCATATCTTTGGCTGTCGCTGACGGCCATATCTGGCCTTTTGTAGCCGTTAATCTAGTCAGAAAATGTCAGATCGACGCACGTTCAACTAGATCCAACCAGTCTGCATCGTAATGTCAGACTCTGACTAGATTCCAATGGTAGTAGCCGGAATCTGACACTGTGGGTCAGTAGGGGTGTTTTTATTATTTTACAAAAATTTTATATATTGGGGTGTTTAGTAAATTAATAAACCTAAGAGGGTTTTTTTATAAATTTTTAAATTTTACACCATAATAATCACCTTATTCAACTATCCAATGCTATCTCTAAAATTCTATCTAAAATAATAAACCAAACTATCAAATACTATCTCTAAAATTCTATCTAAAATAATAAACCAAATTCACCATTTGCTTTTTTTGAAGGGAATCTAAAGAGTTTTAGGGACGAAAAGGTTCTTTTTCACATAAGAAAATATCTGCGTCAATCTGCAGCAAAGAAAGAACATTCCAGCACAAAATTAAATTGAGCATGTAGAAAAGAGGAAGAAAGAATAAAAGAGACAGAGGGAGATCTAAGGTCGACAATGGCGAAATCAAACACCGATAAACCGCTCAGAAAAATCGCAGAAGCATTCAATGAACTGGCCGCCACCGTCAATTCACAGACCGCCGATGTCGAGCTGGCGCCATTCTCTCACGCCTCTTCTCTCGTCTCTCCTCTCTTTGGCTGCTTAGGAATCGCCTTTAAGTTCGCCGAAATGGATTACGTCGCCAAGGTTAATCCACACCCTAACTCTTTTGCCGGTATTGTTACTGTAATCATATTTGGTTATTAATTTGAAGTTGAATGTTATTATTGTGAAGTTAATCATAAATATGAAATTGTCCTTACTGGAATTTTGCATCATGTACGGTTGTGTAAGAGTACAAATTGGTTACTGGATTGGATTTTTAGTGCGGCTTATTTATGTTATTGTTTTTGTTAATTTTTTTATTTCCTTGGTTACTTATTGAATGTGTTGTTGGGAATATATTTTGTTCAATGATTATTATTTAATGCAATTCTTATGCTTGAGTGGTTTGATTGATCGATTGAGCAACATATCAGGTTGATAATCTTGCAGTGGCATCAAAGTCGATAATGACATTGCAAGCTTTGCTTGATCATGATATAAAGGGGAACTGTGTGCGGAAAGCTGGTAGTAACACTAGAAATCTTTTGAGGGTGAAGCGTGGACTCGACATGGTTAGGGTTCTTTTTGAACAAATCATAGCTACAGAGTATGTATATCAAAATCAAATCCTTTTATTGATTGTTTATACTTTTCCATTTCTTGATCAGGTTAGTTCACTTTAATTGCCTCTTGATTTTATGGATCGGGTGGTTTTTAGTTTATATTGGATGGATGCAGAGGCATGCATTGCTTTCTGTGTCATGGACAATGGTAATTTAGCTAAGTCATTACAAGAATGTTTTGTTATCTTTAGGCTCTTTTGAACTTGTGATCTAAACCACCTTTAAGCTTCCTCTAGCAAGGTTGTTTTTTGGCTTTTGATATTAGACCTGGGAATTAATAGGTTTTGTGGATTCTTCTTTTCCTCTTTGTATATATATGTATTGTTTTTCTATCGTTCGCCGGGATTTGAATTGAGTGTCTTTGCTTTATAGCACGTAGTCTTCAAATGCATGAATTTCCTCTTCTGGACAAATTTAACTCTAACGTGAGTGGGGCTTCCACTTCATTGTGGGTTCCATTAATGGAGTTACCTGCATTTGAAGGTAAATTGGATGATACTAACATTCAATCTGGAAAATGCTAATTTTGATAGTTAAGTGACTATCGTTCGGATTGGATGAACTCTATCTTCCACTCTTGAGAAGAAGGGAAAATATGGTAGACGAAGAAGAAAAATAAAATCTGTATGGTTACAGAGCTGAAACATTTATGTTGGATGGTATAATCAAAGAGAAGATACATTTTAGAGAAGGGGAGTGGCTTGTTTAGAGCTGTTAGGTTTTGGCATTATGTGCACTACATATAGAGTTTTAGGTCCTGTTTGTAAAAATGATTTTCATGGTTAAAAATCATGTAGAAAATCAAAGAGATAATGAAGAAAAGATTGTGAAGAGAAAATAAAATAACAAGGTGAATTGGTTTGGGTGAGAGAGATAGAAAGTAGAGAGAAAATTCAAGAAAGAGAGAGAATCGGTGTTAAAAAAGGGAAATATGTATTTTGGTCGTAGAGATGGTCCTGGGGGATCTTCAGAAATTATTTAACATGGTTTATTTTACATGTCTATCGAGGAGAAGTATTCCTTGTTCATTAAGGAAACATATTACTTGTCTACCAGTAAGAACCTTTCCTTTTCTATCAAGGAAAATGATTCTAGGACATAGTTTTATCCTAAAAAGATATATGACTTATCTAAGTACATAGAGCATTATCCAAGAAGGACATATGATTCTATCCGAAGATGCATATAGCTTTATCCAAAAAGGGACGTATAGCTTTATAGAAAAAGAACCTATGGAAACATATCACTTGTCTACGAAGAAGATTAGCTTTTCTATCAAGGAAAATGATTCTAGGACATATAGTTTTACCAAAAAAGATATAACTTACCTGAGGACATATAGCAGCGTTATCCAACAAGGACATATGACTTAACACAAGATCCTATTAGCTTTATCCAAAAAGGGACGTATAGCTTTATCCAAAAAGATCATATTGCCTAATCTGTTTATCTATCCTAGGTTAATTGCTTGTTAAATAAAGAATCATTTTGCTTATCGAAAAGGTGGTATCATTCTTGGTGGAAAAATAATATAAACCACGTGATTTAAACCTTAAAGGTCCCCTTGGATTGAGATTTTTCATTTGTCATTTTTGACAAAATGGAAATGCATGATGAACGTGTATTTCATGCTTTCAAGGACAAAAAGTGGGAAATTATTTATAAAAACACAATCAAATGTGGCCCTATATTCCTTTAATTAGAAAATAGGGAATGTTTGAAAATGTTTGTCAAGAAATAACCTGGACTAGGCTGTCAACGGGATTGGGTATTTGCTCAAATCTAGTGGGGAGGAAATGAAAAATAAAGCAAACTTTGGGTGCTAACATATCAATTATGGTATGCATATATATGTTACTTAGATGTAGTGTGCCTTAGTGGTTAATTTTTTTATCAAACTAGTTGGTCCTTAAGTAGTTTACTAAAGAGGAAACATTGTGGAAGATGATGTTAGTCCAAGCAGGCCCCTTTCATTTTCTATGGAATTGTTAATAACATAGAATTTGGTGAGAACTATTTTTATCATTAAGGTTCAAGTCTAGGGCAGAGATGTTCTACTGTTTTATATTTGTGGATGTGGTTTACAACTATTGAGTTGGAATTTGTGGGTGTAGTATTTGATTTCCTCAACAGAATTAAAGATGATTTTTTAGATGTGTCTGGTAGGTTGGTTTGTCATGAGTTTCCTGTGTTTATGTTGCTTGTCAATGTTGAGTTTGACTTTGAGATTGTAACTTTATGTGGGATTTAATTATCAAATTAAGTTGCCTATTTGGCAATTATCTATAGCACTGTGTTGAGCAACCAGAGGGTGTGGTCTACCGTAGGAAGAAGAGAGGGAAGAAGCAGGGGAATATTGGTTAGGCAGGAGGTTAGAGTTTGTTATAAGTGGGACAGCTGGCTTGTGAGGGGTGGAGAGAAGAGAATTCTGTTAGGTGTCAGGAGAGAATAAAAAGGGGCTAGATGCGAGAGGAGGACGGAGAGAACATTTAAGCCATTTTGGAAGGGAGGCTACTGACCCTCGAAGTCAGTCATTGTGGAGGCTGCTGACCCTCGAAGTCAGTCCTGCAATTTCCATTTTCTTTTGTACTTGTTATTTGATCTCTGTCATAGGTGATTGAGTACTGCTAGGACATTTCTATTGAATGAATATTCTGTGTTATAACAGGACCTTTGTCATTTGAGTGTGTGTTGGTTGTGTGTGGATAGATTGTTGGACTTTTTGTGGATTTGCAGGTCGGGTGTTCATCACACTTTAAGATGAGCAATCTTTTATTACTTTGCTGGGGATTCTAAATATAGCATTAATATTTGAAATGAGCATCATCTATTGTGGATATTGAGATGGATGATTGTGGTGATCAAGAAGGATAAAACTGCATATGATTCAATGCCGATAAATTGAGGGTACATGAGAAAAAGGCTCATTATAGCATTGAATGCTATGTCACTTTTTTTCCTGAAGTTCCTAGATTTTCCCTTTTGAAGCTTCTACTTTGATTTGGAAAGCCAAAGCCCTCAGTAAATTGAAAATTCTGCCTTTGTTTAGACCACTTTTTTTCTGCAATGTCCTGTTACTCTTCAGTTGTGAATGAATTTGTTTTTTTTTTTTTTTTTATAGTCTCTGCTGGATAGCCTTTCCCTCTAGCTGTTCTGTTTTCTTGGAAAGATCTCAAGCTCTCAGGGGAAGTAAGAAAGCTAAAGTACATTGGGGTCATGCTATTATGGAAATTTTTTTGGTTTATTTGGCTAGAACCAAACCAAAGTATTTTGAAGACAAGAATAGAGGATTTAGTCTCTATGGGTGAAATTAAGTTCTGGACCTCTTTATAGGGTTAGTGTTTTTTAAGTCCCAGATGTGGCTTTTTTACTCTTCCATCATTGTTTGAGGTGAATGACTTGATAGACATTTTGCTTTATATTTTGGACTGTTGGACCCTGTTAAATGCCTTCTGGTTGTCTCTAGCCCTTTGATTCTTTTGAGCCTCTTTACCATAGCTTTGTCTATCTTCTGTGAACAGCTTGTTCACTTTTTGTAAATCTTTTCATTTATGTATTTCCGATCCAGTTCTTAACAAAAAAAAGAAAAAAAAAAAAAAAAAAAAACTGCTTGGTGTGGTTCGAACGATGTGCGCTAGAAAATTGCCTTAACCTTTATAAATTAGTTTGTCCTGATTAGTTATTCAACTCCCGAACTAAGTCATATTTAATTATCAGGATGTAATAAGTATTTGTTTATGGCTACAAGTTATACAAGTATATTTCAAATGTAAGCATTTGAATGTAAGTTGGTATTAACTGGCTAAACTATTTGATTTCCTTATGTAGGGGCAATTCCTTAAAAGATCCAGCTTCCAAAGCGTATGAAACATATTGGCTCCCCATCATGGATGGGCTATAAGGAAAGCTGTTGCTGCAGGGTGTGCCCTTCCAACCAAAGCACAACTGTTAAAAAAGCTCAATGAAGATGGTGAGTGCTTCCCCCTGTGATCCATTCGTTTCTTTCTTTCTGTTGTCAAATATAGAAGAAATGCTGATATTTTTTCCAACCCTACCCTTTTTAAAATTTTCTTTTTCCTTTTGTTAATAATTATATCTTGATATACAAGGGTTTTCATCACTTTTTCTTTATTTTAAAGAGAAAAAAAAATAAAGAAAAGAAAATAAGATGTGGCTTTAGACATGCCATGTTCACATTTTACATAATACACTCCCATAGGCATGGGGTTTGTTGGTTCAAGCTAAGTTTTGCCTGTACAATTCAACTTTTGACTGGGGATGAGCTTTAGTAAGCGCTGGCTTGTTTAGATGAAAGTCTTTACCATTGATATCAAAACAATAGGAATTGGTATCTTCAGTCCTGACTAGGTCCCCAATACTGCGACTTTGAATGTTTTTGGGATGTCATGGAGATGCCTTTAAATCCTTGTTTTTTGTTGGATGGTCTGAAATCGCACAATGCCAACCAAGTTTTGCTCAAGTCATAGATGCCTCTTTAAAGAAAAAAAAGTTAGGTAAAAGAAGGGGCTTATCTTTTTGTGTTATGTTAATGGTACAACTTTGGTTAGTTTTTTTTTTTTTTTTTCTCAGAGGCGTCAGCGAGGATTCAAATGCAGAATTACATTACTGCATCTCTCCAGTCTTGTGTACGTCGACAAACTCTTCATTTCACGAGAGTTGGGTATAGATTGGTAAAACATGGATTTATCTTCACATACTCCTCTTTCAAGTGCACTGGATTGTAATTGGTAAATAGTATTTCATTTATATATAATATTTATTGTGAAATCTTTCTCACTTTAACACTGAATTAACTTCAGCCTCGTGGAATCATACACTCTTTTAAACTCTTGTATATGGAATAAACACCATTGTTAACACTTGAACTTGATTCGCGTCGAGTCCCAGTGCTTGTTATGGTGGATTCCTGTTGGTCAGTGTTATTGTAATCAGCAATCCCATTGAACATTAATCAGGCGCAATAGTTACACCAATATTTAATAACCAATTTGGGGTGAAGCCTGGCAAAGCTGTTGGGTCTGAGGTTGACCGGTTTAACCGGTTTTGATTGTCGGTTAAACTGGGTGATAAAAGTTTAAATTTTAGCAAATACGCCCTCAAAGTTTTTAAGTCCTATAATTTTTGAATTTAGCAAACACACCCTTGGCGGTGCATACTAAATGCATCTTAATCATCCTTTGAGCCCATTTCCCAAAAATCTATGTGAGATTTATCGTTTTTAGTCAGATCTCATCGACTTCTACGTTGACATTCTAGGTTAGATCTCACAAGTCACAACCACCAGTGTCGACAACCTTTCTCATCACCATGAAAATACTCTCTTCAATCTCATGACCACAACCCATCTCACCACACCCTTATTCGTCTTGCCATCATCGGCAAAATGGTTTTTTTCGATTTCTGGTTGATTCGTCATCCATCACTTCCATTACCACCATTGCACTCACTAACTCTTTCTCTTCAAAAGCCCTATATATTGGCCTTCAATTGTTCGTCGACCATTATTCCATTTCTAGGGTTTTTGGTAATAGTAAAATGGGTAACCGACTTGATAAAAGCCAGTTAAACCATTTGAATCGATCGGGTCGGGTCGGTTCAGGTTTTAAAACACTGATTAACACTATATATCTCATTATCATCCTTTATTGGCCAACATCTTCTAAGACCCTCCTTAAATATTTACAAATTGACAAGTAAATGGAGAAAAAAATTTAGATAAGATTCTTTTTTTTTTTTTTTTTTTTCACCTTTGATGGTAACATATAGCTAATTGTAATTATTGATCTCACCATGTCCGTACGGTGATATGGTGAGACTATTTTGTGTAAAATTTCTCGAAAATAAATTCTTCAGCTCCTATAAGAAATATTAAGAAGAAATTTAAATTTCATTTAGACTGACTTCAAAGCTTAATTGGTAAGCACATTTTTTTCACATGATTGTGGGGTTGGGGAATAGGGAGCATTGCTCTAAACCTCGAGGTATACCGTATACCATAATCCAATAAGCTCTCTCACAAATGAAAATAATTTTGGACCCTGTCGTTGTTTAACGTTATTTTATAGTTGGATTTAATGAATGAATGGAGTGTAAAAGACCGTTAACCCACTGATTTCTATCGCTGCTTGTTCAACGAGGCTTGGCTCAAGCAAAGCCAGCCACCGCTTTGCTTGGCCACGCGAGGCCATGGCTCAAGCAACGCGGCCTCACGTGGCCACGCAAGACAACATCCATCAGTTTTAATTATTTTAGGAGTTAATGATTTTTTTCCATCAAAAAAAAGCTTAATGACATTTTCCCACTCTTTTAAAATATCACTTTAGTATCCAAAATATAATTTTATTAGTAATTTTTGTTGTGATGAAGGGAAAAATGGTCAAAAATCTGTTATAAGTAAGGGCATAATGGTTAACAACATTTTGGCCATTAGAGAGAAGAAAGAAAAAAGGCAGCGCACATTAGCCAGAGACAATACACGTTAGCAGCATCACTGTTGACAGTTTTTTGCCCTTTTAACGCTGACCCCGACGTCCAAAATCATTTTCGAAACCCCCACAGAATCCCCATTACCTGCTTTACAAAGCCCAGACCTCCATCTTCCTTCATCACTCACCATTTTCCACCATCACCTCCTTTTGCACAGCCAACTCTTCAAGCCAGATTTCCGATCAATTTCTTTGCCAGAAATTCCCCAGACACCACCATCACACTCCCCACAACCCACTCTCCAAAACCTTACCCCATCACCATCCCTTGCTCACCGATCGTCATCGTGCACAGCACGACCTTTCAAATTCTAGGCTGATTCTGGTCGTTTCCCATGTCGAAAATCCCCCTTGCCGCCACCAGAATCCCCATCTTCTCTCTTCAAACCCTTAACAACCTAATCCCATTTGCTCACCGATCACACTCGTCCTCTCTCCTAGGTTTTTCAGTTGCATGATGAACTTGGGGCGTGCCTTTTAGTAGATTATGTCACCGTAATCGACCCTGTCACTGCCAATCGACCCCTCAGATCTTGCTCTCCAAAAGCCCTAGCATTCTCTATCCCGTTGTTCACCAATCACTAGCAATTGAAACTTCCCTACCCTAGGGTTTTTTGAGTTTCTGATTAGAGAAAATAGAAGGGAATTTAAAAAAAATCACTGTATTTCCCACCCAAACCAAGAGAAATATAATAGTTAGGTATAAAGGGGTATTTTAAAATTTTGAGGGTGGAAAGCGTCATTAGCTTTTTTTTTTTTTTTTTTTTTTTGGGTGGGAAAAGTAGTTAACTGTTATTTTGATATCTTTAATCAAGTTCATAGTCGAAGTATTTATCTTTCATTTGTTTGTCCAATTTTCTTTTTATCCAAGCATAATAAAATTTAAAATTACTTATTTATTAATTATTATATTTTATTTTCCATTTAAGTTACACTTTGAACATATATTATAAATACATATATACTCTAATGAGTAATACTATACTCACAACCTCTTCTCACAAACTTTTTCTCATAACCTCGACGTGACAGCTCACAAATCAGTCCCCTGCTCGCTTAAGGCCTCATTGTCCATTTACGAACTGATCAATCGTGAGTTACCATGTCGAGATTGTGAGAAAATGTTGTGACGTAGTATTTTTGATACTCTATATTGAGTTTTAATACAAAATTGGTATTGACATTGATAGAAAAATCTTAAAGTGTAAAAGGTCACGTTAGTTTTCTTTTGTTCATGCTACTGCTAGCACTATATTTTGAATCATGGTTATTCTAAAGAAATCATTGAAAAAATCAATAGACAAGTACAGCTGTAATGAAAGTATTATAATATCACATTCAAAACATGATAACAACTACAGCTCACTTATATACATTATCAGTAAACAAAAATTAATAATATACTTTCAAAACTATTATTTCTACTAGATTATCTTACTAAAATATTATTTCACGTTGTTTTTTTTTTCTTACAAATTTTCTGCCTCTACGTGGAACAGGGTCAATAGTATAGAGTATGTATGATAATTTTCAATTGCAAAAATATGAGTGATGGAATGATTAAACGTAACATAATATTACATATGAATATTTCTCATACAATATGATGTGAAAAGATAATTGACTGATTTTAAATTAAAAATAACTTTCACCTAATCATTTTTTATCACATTATATGTATGACAAATGTTGTATGTGTGGTATTACTCTTAATGTACAGTTCACTCTACTCATTTCCATTTATATCCTTTCCCACACTTGAAACAAATATAACAACTCCAAAATGAGTGCCAAAAAACAAAAAAAAAAAAATTGGCCATCCGAGGCTTCCTGTACTGATTGAGAATTAAATCAATTAGAAGGAATTACACTTTAACCCTTCATCTATTGTTCTTTTATCAAGAGTCTCTTATCTTTCATCTATTACATTTTAGTCATTTTATTATTTTATATTTCACCATTACTTTCAACAACCTTTTTTTTTTTTTTTTTTTTTGGTAATCGGTGTGTTCGAGTCAGCTTGCACGCACCTCAATTAATCCGTAGAATCTATTGAACATCCTACAACTCAAAAACCAAGTAACTGATATAAGTCACACTATAGTAAATAGCCCCAAGGTTTGAACCAAGGGACTCAAGGAAGAACAAACCTCTAACTATTTTAGTTGGCCCAAATCCAAATCTTACAATTACAAAGTACAAACTCTTGTTTACTTAAACCCCATCAAAACTCAAAACGTAAATGATTGGACAAATCCTAACAACTTCATATCAAGACAAAGGTCCCATTTCCTACTTCCTCCAAACTTTTCTCACATAAAAAAGATCCATTCTTGTCTTCACTCTCTCCATCAGCATTAATTATTCCCCTCTCATTCCTCCACAAACTCAATCCAATCCTCAATTCAAAATCTCATTATCCCACAACATCATGGCCCTCGCCTTAACACTCCTTCAATAGCCGTTTACTTCCTCAAATGGACGTTAACAAATGCGAAACCCATCCCTCTATAACCACCTGGCCTACGTGGCATTCCCTTACTGGGTAACCTCCCCTCTCTCGACTCGGAGCTCCACACTTACTTCACGCGCCTGGCCACTCCTATGACCCCGTTTACTAGCTCTGTCTCGAGAACAAAATTGGCATCGTTTTGACTTCTCCTTCTTCAGTTCCCAAGTCCTCAAAGAACACGACACCTTTTTTGCCAACCAGGACGTGCCCATTATGGGTTGGGTCGCAACTCAAGGCGATGTGACATTGTTTGGAACCCGTATGGATCCGAGTGGAGGATGTGAAGGAAGATATGTGTTCTTAAGATGCTTAGCACAAACCCTGGACTCTGTTTTCACGCTTCAGCGGCATGAGGTTCGACAAACTGTTGGGTACATATACAGTTGGGTCGGTCACCCTTAATGTTGATGAACAAATGTTTTTGACGATATTGAATGTGATTACAAACATGACACATGTCAAAACCTTGCTTTGGTAAGTCTTTTTTAAAAAAGTAATGCCCCGTCAACAACCTTTTCTCACAAACTTCTCTTATGACCTCCAACATGACAGCTAAGTTAGCATGTCACGTCAAAATGATTTTGACTAGACCAAAGAAACGGTCGTTCCTTCATAGGAATAGTCATTACTTACGAAGGAATGGTCTTTCCTCACAGAAGGAATGGTCGTTTATAAATAAGGAACAACCATTCCTTATGAAAGGAATGGCAAGGAAGGGCTATTCCTTTAGTTATTCCTTAGGCAACCATTCCTTCACAAGGAATGTTTGTTCCTTCATAAGAACAATTGTTCCTTATGAAGGAACAACCCTCCTTCATAAGCAACGACTGCTCCTTTTAAAGAAACAACCGTTCATTTTCAGTAGTGCCTTTTGATATCTTAGTGTAGTGGGAGCTAACGTGACAGTGCTAATCTGTTAACACGTTAAGGTTATAAAAAAGGTTTGTAGAGTGGAGTTGTAAACGTAGTATTTTTCTTTTTAAAAATCTTATTATTATTAGTTTATTTATTTATGTATTATTCCTTTAATTACTTAAATTTGAATGAATAATATTAGTGATATTAAAAAGTTAACCAAATTTTAGAAGGGCTAAAAAAATTAACCACTATCTCAAATCTTAAACTATATTAATGGTGATACATCTTTTGTCATAAATATTTTTTTGTAGTGATCTTTTCTGTAACAACTTGTGAAATTTGTAGCACTTTACCTACTCTAATCTGACTTTACACACTTAATGCTAGGTTAAAATTATAGATATGATAATTTGTCTAATTTATACCAATCTTCCAAACTGTGTACTTTTTCTGGCTTCTTTGACATGAGTTCGTGAATTTTAATCAAAAAACCAAAGGTAATGAAGAAAGCCCACCAAGAATTAGGCCAAGTAGTTGGAAAAAACAACATAGCAGAAGAATTCCACATCCAAAAATTGCAATATTTATATGCTATAATGAAAGAGACCTTGTATTTGCACCCCGTTCTCCCACTATTGGTTCCCCATTGAAAGATCTATAAAACTATTGGGGATCATCCATAGTGATGTATGTGGTCCTATATCAGTTCAAGCAAGAGAAGGGTATTCTTGCTTCATCACATTTACTGATGATTTCAGTAGATACAATTATGTCTATTTGATGCGATATAAATTTGAATGATTTGACAAGTTCAAAGAGTTCAGGGTTGAAGTACAGAACAAGCTCGGAAAGAGTATTAAAGCCCTTCGATCGGACTAAGGAGGTGAATGCTTGAGCTTGGAGTTTGGTGGATACTTAAGGAATGTGGGATAGTATCACAACTCACACCTCCTTATACGCCATAGCACAATGGTGTATCGAAAAGAAGGAATCGAACGTTACTTGATATGGTTTGTTCGATAATGAGTTTGGCCAATCTACCCGCAGCATTTTGGGGCTATACCCTAGAGACTGCGATTCATACACTGAACTGTGTGCCGTCCAAATCAGTGGATAAGACTCCATGTGAACTATGAAATGGGCAAAAGCCCACGTTGTCTTATTTAAGAGTTTGGGGTTATACGACTTATGTCAAGAAATTGACCTCAAATAAGTTTGCCCCAAAATCTGACAAATGTATCTTTGTGGGATATCCCAAGCAAACCATGGGATACTATTTCTACCAGCCAGAAGAGCAAAAGGTTTTTGTAGCTCAATTTGGTGTATTCTTGGAAATGGAATTTGTCCAAAATAGTATAGGAGGTAAAAAAGGTCGAACTAGGTGAAGTTCTGACTCCACAAGATATGGCTGATGAGGAACAGACAGATGTACCACCAGAAATGGAGGAAAATCAGGAGGAAGTCACTCTACAAATTGTGGAAGAAAGTGAGCAAACTCAGACATAGGAGCTATGTATATCTGGTAGAGTACATTGTGAGCCTGAGAGGTATCGATATCTTGTGACTCAGCACAATGATGTACTAATTTATCAAAATGATGAACCTCAAACCAATATTGATGCTATATCAGTTCTGGACTCTATTAAATGGCTTGAGGCCATGAAATCCGAAATGGACTCCATGTACTAGAACCGAGTATGGACACTAGTGGACTTACCTGATGAGATAAAACTATAGGATGTAAATGGGTCTTCAAGAAGAAGAGAAACACGGAAGGTAACGTGCATACCTATAAAGCATGCCTAGTTGCCAAAGGTTTCAAGCAAAAGCATGGCGTAGACTATGATGAAACTTTTTCTCCAATAGTAATGTTGAAGTCTATTCAGATGATGCTTGAAATAGTTGCATACCATGATTATGAAATTTGGCAAATGGATGTCAAAACTGCTTTTCTGAATGGAAAACTTGAAGAGGATGTGTATATGACACATCCCGCTGGCTTCATTCTTGAAGATCAAGGAGGAAAGGTATGCAAGTTGCAAAGGTCCATTTATGGACTTAAGCAAGCATCAAGGAGTTGGAACATTTGTTTTGACAAAGCCGTTAAGGAATTTGGTTTCACCAAAAATGAAGATGAGCCTTATGTGTATTAGAAGTTCAGTGGGAGCACAATGACATTCCTTGTAACACCTACTGGAAACTAGTACAATGCATGCAATTAACAATGGAAAATTGGGCCCANAAAAGATCCAGCTTCCAAAGCGTATGAACAAGTATTGGCTCCCCATCATGGATGGGCTATAAGGAAAGCTGTTGCTGCAGGGATGTATGCCCTTCCAACCAAAGCACAACTGTTAAAAAAGCTCAATGAAGATGGTGAGTGCTTCCCCCTGTGATCCATTTGTTTCTTTCTTTCTGTTGTCAAATATATATAGAATGAAATGCTGATATTGTATTCCAACTCCTACCCTTTTTAAAATTTTCTTTTTCCTTTTGTTAATAATTATATCTTTGATATACAAGGGTTTTCATCAACCTTTTCTTTAATTATTAAAGAGAAAAAAAAAATAAAGAAAAGAAAAAAATAAAGATGTGGCTTTAGACATGCCATGTTCACAATTTTACATAATACACTCCCAATAGGCATGGGGTTTGTTGGTTCAAGCTAAAGTTTTGCCTGTACAATTCAACTTTTGACTGGGGATGAGCTTTAGTAAGCGCTGGCTTGTTTAGATGAATAGTCTTTACCATTGATATCAAAACAATAGGAATTGGTATCTTCAGTCCTGGACTAGGTTCTCCCAATAACATGCGACTTTGAAATGTTTTATTGGGATGTTCATGGAGATGCCTTTAAATCCTTGTTTTTGTTGGATGGGTCTGAAATCGCACAATGCCAACCAAGTTTTGCTCAAGTCATAGATGCCTACTTTAAAGAAAAAAAAGTTAGGTAAAAGAAGGGGCTTATCTTTTTGTGTTATGTTAATGGTACAACTTTGGTTATGTTTTTTTTTTTTTTTTTTTCTTCAGAGGCGTCAGCGAGGATTCAAATGCAGAATTACATTACTGCATCTGCTCCAGTCATTGTGTACGTCGACAAACTCTTCATTTCACGAGAGTTGGGTATAGATTGGTAAAACATGGATTTTATCTTCACATACTCCTCTTTCAAGTGCACTGGATGTAGATTGGTAAAATATGTATTTCATTTATATATTAATATTTATTGTGATAATCTTTTCTCACTTTAACACTGAAATTAAACTTCAGCCTCGTGGAATCATACGACTCTTTTAAACTCTTGTATATTGGAATAAACACCATTGTTAACACTTGAACTTGATTCGCGTCGAGTCTCCAGTGCTTGTTATGGTGGATTCCTGTTGGTCAGTGTTATTGTAATCAGCAATCCCATTGAACATTAATCAGGCGGCAATAGTTAACACCAATATTTTAATAACCAATTTGGGGTGAAGCCTGGCAAAGCTGTTGGGTCTGAGGTTGACCGGTTTAACCGGTTTGATTGGTCGGTTAAACTGGGTGATAAAAAGTTTAAATTTTAGCAAATACGCCCTCAAAAGTTTTTAAGTCCTTATAAGTTTGAAATTTAGCAAACACACCCTTGGCGGTGCATACTAAATGCAATCTTAATCATCCTTTGAGCCCATTTCCCAAAAAATCTATTGAAGATTTATCGATTTTAGTCAGATCTCATCGACGTCTACGTTGACATTCTAGGTTAGATCTCACAAGTCACAACCACCAGTGTCGACAACCTTTCTCATCACCATGAAAATACTCTCTTCAATCTCATGACCACAACCCATCTCACCACACCCTTATTCGTCTTGCCAATCATCGGCAAAAAATGGTTTTTTTCGATTTCTGGTTGATTCGCTCATCCGAAATCACTTCCATTACCACCATTGCACTCACTAACTCTTTCTCTTCAAAAGCCCTAATATATTGGCCTTCAATTGTTCGTCGACCATTATTCCAATTTCTAGGGTTTTTGGTAAATAGTAAAATGGGTAACCGACTTGATAAAAGCCAGTTAAACCATTTGAATCGATCGGGTCGGGTCGGTTCAGGTTTTAAAACACTGATTAACACTATATATCTCATTATCATCCTTTATTGGGCCAACATCTTCTTAAGACCCTCCTTAAATATTTACAAATTGACAAGTGAATGGAGAAAAAAATTTAGATAAGATTCTTTTTTTTTTTTTTCACCTTTAGATGTTAACATATAGCTAATTGTAATTATATGATCTCACCATGTCCGTACGGTGATATGGTGAGATATTTTGTGTAAAATTTCTCGAAAATAAATTCTTCAACTCCTATAAGAAATATTAAGAAGAAATTTAAATTTCATTTAGACTGACTTCAAAGCTTAAGTGGTAAGCACATTATTTTTCACATGATTGTGGGGTTGGGGAATAGGGAGCATTGCTCTAAACCTGTCGAGGTATACCGTATACCATAATCCAATAAGCTCTCTCACAAAATGAAAATAATTTTGGACTCCTGTCGTTTGTTAAACGTTATTTTATAGTTGGATTTAATGAATGAATGGAGTGTAAAAGACCGGTAACCCACTGATTTCTATCGCTGGCTTGTTCAACGAGGCTGTGGCTCAAGCAAAGCCAGCCACCGCTTTGCTTGGATGTTGTCTTGCGTGGCCACGTGAGGCCATGGCTCAAGCAAGTTGCGGCCTCACGTGGCCACGCAAGACAACATCCATCAGTTTTCATTATTTTAGGAGTTAATGATTTTTTTCCATCCAAAAAAAAGCTTAATGACATTTTCCCACTCTTTTAAAATATCACTTTAGTATCCAAAATATAATTTTATTAGTAATTTTTGTTGTGATGAAGGGAAAAATGGTCAAAAATCTGTTATAAGTAAGGGCATAATGGTTAACAAACATTTTGGCCATTAGAGAAGAAGAAAAGAAAAAAAGGCAGCGCACATTAGCCAGAGACAATACACGTTAGCAGCATCACTGTTGACAGTTTTTGCCCTTTTACGGCTGACCCCGACGTCCAAAATCATTTTCGAAACCACCCACAGAATCCCCATTACCTGCTTTACAAAGCCCAGACCTCCATCTTCCTTCATCACTCACTATTTTCCACCATCACCTCCATTTGCACAGCCAACTCTTCAAGCCAGATTTCCGATCGATTTATTTGCCAGAAATTCCCCTAGACACCACCATCACACTCCCCACAACCCACTCTCAAAAACCTTACCTCCATCACCATCCCTTGCTCACCGATCGTCAATCGTGCACAGCACGACCTTTCAAATTCTAGGCTGATTTCTGGTCGTTTCCCATGTCGAAAATCCCCCTTGAAACCGCCACCAGAATCCCCATCTTCTCCTCTTCAAAACCTTTAACAACCTAATCCCATTTGCTCACCGATCATCATCGTCCTCTTCCTAGGGTTTCAGTTGCATGATGAACTTGGGGTGTGCCTTTTTAGTAGATTATGTCACCGGTAATCGACCCTGTCACTGCCAATCGACCCCTCAGATCTTGCTCTCCAAAAGCCCTAGCATTCTCTATCCCGTTTGTTCACCAATCACTAGCAATTGAAACTTCCCTACCCTAGGGGTGTTTGAGTTTCTGATTAGAGAAAGATAGAAGGGAATTTTAAAAAAATCAGTATTTCCCACCAAACCAGAGAGAAATATAATAGTTAGGTAGTAAAGGGGTATTTTAAAATTTTGAGGGTGGGAAAGCGTCATTAAGCTTTTTTTTTTTTTTTTTTTTTTGGTGGGAAAAAGTAGTTAACTGTTATTTTAGATATCTTTAATCAAGTTCATAGTCGAAGTATTTATCTTTCATTTGTTTGTCCAATTTTCTTTTTATCCAAGCATAATAAAATTTAAAATTACTTATATTATTAATTATTATATTTTATTTTCCATTTAAGATTTAACTTTGAACATATATTATAAATACATATATACTCTAATGAGTAATACTATACTCACAACCTCTTCTCACAAACTTTTTCTCATAACCTCGACGTGACAGCTCACAAATCAGTCCCGCTTGCTCGCTATAGGCCTCATTTGTCCATTTACGAACTGATCAATCGTGAGTTACCATGTCGAGATTGTGAGAAAATGTTGTAGACGTAGTATTTTTGATACTCTAATATTGAGTTTTTAATACAAAATTGGTATTGAACATAATGATAGAAAAATCTTAAAGTGTAAAAGGTCACGTTAGTTTTCTTTGTTCATGGCTACTGCTAGCACTAATATTTTGAATCATGGTTATTCTAAAGAAATCATATGAAAAAATCAATAGACAAGTACAGCTGTAATGAAAGTATTATAATATCACATTCAAAACATGATAACAACTACAGCTACTTATATACAATTATCAGTAAACAAAAATTAATAATATACTTTCAAAACTATTATTTCTACTAGATTATCTTAACTAAAATATTATTTCACGTTGTTTATTTTTTTCTTAACAAATTTTCTGCCTCTACTGGTAACAGGGTCAATAGTATAGAGTATGTATGAATATTTTCAATTGCAAAGAATATGAGTGATGGAATGATTAAACGTAACATAATATTACATATGAAATATTTTTCATATAATATGATGTGACAAAAGATAATTGATTGATTTTAAATTAAAAATAAACTTTCACCTAATCATTTTTTATCACATTATATTATATGAGAAATGTTGTATGTGTGGTATTACTCTTAAACGTAATATGTCACTCTACTCATTTATCTCATTTATATCCTTTCCCACACATGAAACAAAATATAACAACTCCAAAATGAGTTCCTAATAAATAAAAAAAAAAAAAAAAATTTGGCCATCCGAGGCTTCCTGTACTGATTTGAGAATTAAATCAATTAGAAGGAAATTACACTTTAACCCTTCATCTATTGTTCTTTTATCAAGAGTCTCTTATCTTTCATCTATTACATTTTAGTCATTATTATTATTTTATATTTCCACAATTACTTTACAACCACCTTTTTTTTTTTTTGGTAATCGGGGTGTTCGAGTCAGCTTGCACGCACCTCAATTAATCTGTAGGATCCATTGAACATCCTACAAATCCAAAAGACCAAGTAACTGAGATAAGTCACATTGTGGTAAGTAGCCCCAAGGTTTGAATCAAGGGACTCAAGGAAGAGAACAAACCTCTAACTATTTTAGTTGGCCCAAATCCAAATCTTACAATTACAAAGTACAAACTCTTGTTTACTTAAACCCCATCAAAAACTCAAAAACGTAAATGATTGGACAAATAACTAACAACTTCATATCAAGACAAAGGTCCCATTTCCTACTTCCTCCAAACTTTTCTCACATGAAAAAGACCCATTCTTGTCCTCACTCTCTCCATCAGCATTAAATTATTCCCCTCTCATTCCTCACAAAACTCAATCCAATCCTCAATTCAAAATCTCATTATCCCACAACATCATGGCCCTCGCCTTAACACTCCTTCAATAGCCGTTTACTTCCTCAAATGGACGTTAACAAAATGCGAGAACCCAATCCCTCTATAACCACCTGGCCTACGTGGCATTCCCTTACTGGGTAACCTCCCCTCTCTCGACTCGGAGCTCCACACTTACTTCACGCGCCTGGCACACTCCTATGACCCCGTTTACTAGCTCTGTCTCGAGAACAAAATTGGCATCGTTTTGACTTCTCCTTCTTCAGTTCGCCAAGTCCTCAAAGAACACGACACCATTTTTGCCAACCAGGACGTGCCCATTATGGGTTGGGTCGCAACTCAAGGCGAGTGTGACATTGTTTGGAACCCGTATGGATCCGAGTGGAGGATGTGAAGGAAGATATGTGTTCTTAAGATGCTTAGCAACAAAACCCTGGACTCTGTTTTCACGCTTCAGCGGCATGAGGTTCGACAAACTGTTGGGTACATATACAGTTGGGTCGGGTCACCCTTAATGTTGATGAACAAATGTTTTTGACGATATTGAATGTGATTACAAACATGACACATGTCAAAACCTTGCTTATGGTAAGTCTTTTTTTTTGTTTTTTGTTTTTTTTAAAAAAGTAATGCCCCGTCAACAACCTTTTCTCACAAACTTCTCTTATGACCTCCAACATGACAGCTAAGTTAGCATGTCACGTCAAAATGATTTTGACTAGACCAAAGAAACGGTCGTTCCTTCATAGGAATAGTCATTACTTACGAAGGAATGGTCTTTCCTCACAGAAGGAATGGTCGTTTATAAATAAGGAACAACCATTCCTTATGAAGGAATGGCAAGGAAGGGCTATTCCTTTAGTTATTCCTTAGGTACAACCATTCCTTCACAAGGAATGTTGTTCCTTCATAGAAACAATTGTTCCTTATGAAGGAAC